ATATTTGTTTATTATAATTTAATTTAGTTTAATAATGAAATAATTTGTTTTTTTCTTTAATAATATAACATTTTATAAAGATAATAATTAAGTATTATGTTAGAACTCAATGATTATCTTAATTATATTATAGATTTTTTATATTTAAAATGAGATGTTTATTATGTATTTGATTATGCTTATCTAGCAGTTAGTTACACGAATTCAGATATGGAGCTTTAATAAGTTGTACTTACGCACAATCTACTTGCAATCTTGAGTTTTAAGTAACATGCATTAATAAATAGTACTTTACGCATAAAAAGTGGTTTTTAAGAGTTTTTGTCAAATGCTTTATAATATAGTATAGATAAAATCTCTAAAAGCATTTTCAGTATTTTTTTATCGTCATCTTACTTTTAACTCATCAAATTAAGAACTCATATAAAAGTCTACAATGATAGTTCTTATAAGAATTTTTTTTTGTGGGTTTCATATATTTTTTAAATATTAATGATTATTATATATTTATATATAAATATCAAATATTTATTTCAAAAAACTAATAGATTGTAAATTCACACAAACTGCATAGTAAAAATCAAAGTTCTTGTACAAGATCTCAAAAGAGGTGAGGTTTTTATAAGAACTCTTTACAATATTGGTTCTTACAACGTCGATTAGATATATATTATATCATATTATAATCAAAATACGCTTTTTAAAATATATATATATAATAATAATAATAATAATAATTTTATTGGTAGGTATGAATAAAAAATTTAATTTCTCGTTTCACACATTAAGTTTTAGAGAATTTTCTAAACTTTGAGCTATTTTAGAGAACAATATAGAAAATATATTGGAATAAAATAGAGAACAAAAGTTTATCGTTTCTATTTTAAAGAATCTGTTGGAGATACTCTTAGGGATTGTTTGTTTACCTCTTAATAGTTCCATTAAGAGGCAACATCTGAATCGTTAAGAGGTGAAACTTGTTGGGCAAAAAAAGTTTGTCTATTAATGGTTCTAAAAATACTTTGAATGATTTTGTATCATGAGTCTCTCTTAACCATTCAACGTCATAATTCCATTGTAAACAATTACCGAATAGTTATATTTCATTTTGCATTATATCATGAGAGCCTCTTAATCATTCTTGCCACTTAATCATTATACAACAAACCATTTAGCAACTGTCAAACAACCCCTTAAACTTAAGACTTAAGTTTTTATTTATATTTCAATTTTCTATGTTTTTCTAGGTCTAATTTTGGTTTATGTTTAATTTACCGTTCTTACTTCGTCTTTTGCTTTGGTTAAGGGTTAAATTTATTTCCAAAATCTCAAACTTGGGTAAATTGCATAAATGACTTGGGTTCACGTGAGACCAACCTTTTTTTGTGAGACCATTTTTTTACACTTGAAACTTCACAGCAAAACATTGTGAAGGTAAAAGAAAGTCGAACCTTCACAGCAAAAACATTGTGAAGGTTACTTTCACTGTGTTTTGTTGTGAGGGTTCAAGTATAAAAAAAGTGATCTCACGCAAACAGATTGGTCTCACGTGAACCCAACCCGGATAAAATTAAAGGTGATTTGTTTAGGTTACTACTTACCTAGGGAAAGATACTTTCGTAAGTATCTTTTTGTCATCTACAATCAGTTATTTCAAATAAGAAAGTTTAATACAATTTGTTCAAGAAAAATACTTTTTATTTATATAGCTATAATAGGTTCTTTTCAGACATTTATCTTATGTTTCATTATATGAATAAAAGCACGTTACGTTTTCTAAAATAAAATCCGAAACAAAACACGTTGTATTTTGATTTAATTTATTTTTAAAATTAATAAAAATAGATGAGAAGTAGCTTTTTGGCTTATGAATGTTAGGTTTACATAATGGCAAATTAGGCACATTGTCAAAATCCAAATTTTCAAAATGATTTATTGAATTTTATATTTATGAATTTTCAAAAATATATCATGTTTCGGTTCGTCGTATTTGATTCAGTCGTTTGTGTTACCCACGAAATAAATACCTTTAAAACGAGATGTTCTTAAGATGTCATAAAGTTGTACGTTTTGTTTCACAAGTTGAAGTATTAAGATTGTTTTATTAGCACTTATGTGTAACTTTTGATCAACTAAATTCATTCACAACAAAAGATGGTAACGATAAGAAAATGGTAGGCACCAAAGGGTCTTTGGTCTAGTGGTATGGTAGTTTTTGACTTCATAGGAGGTCAGAGGTTCAAACCTCACTACATGTGAGGAGGGTGTGTGAGCTTATTTGTTGCATTTAACGTATATAAATATTATATACTTAAAAAAAAACAAGATGCTAGGCTTCTCTCTTAAGCCATACTCGTAACTTACGTTGTAACTTAAAAACTATATATAGAGATCAAGAAAGTCATGTTTATACGAGAACAATTACCAAATAAGAGAGTAAGAAAATGTTCGAATCATATAAGATTTTTACATTAAAATTACGTGTAAAATCACATGTAATTCATGCGAAACTTAAATATTTTGATAGCTCAGTAACCACCTATTTTATATAGATCATGATGACTTATCTTGAATAATGATAGTCATGAACATATGTCATGATGACTTATCTTGAATAATAATGGTCATGAATATATGTCATGACATTCATCGTGAATATTTATGGCATCTTTCAACATGCATACTGCATATTATAGGTGGTTTTCAGATTCTCAAAATATTTCAAGTTCCTAGATTAACATGTCAGTATATATATATTAATTTATTTACCGGTTCAAATAAGAAAATTAAATATCGTGAGAATTTAATAAGTAAAGGTTTATATGTGAATTATTGAAAGAATCAGATAAAAATGCATGTGTAAATTGACATTATATAAACAAAACCAATATCTTTTAATTAGTTGAATATTAAAGTAAAAAGTTAGATAACAAATTCTTTGTGATTTAGGAATGTTTAGTCCATGTAATGTAATGGCAAATTAGGCAAATACTACAAAATGGGTTGGTGGTAAGCGTCTCAAACCCAGTAAACGTTTATCAGGTTAGACTTTCGGACCTTGCTATGGATAAATTTTCGGTCCTTTCCATACTAAATCGGTAAGGTAAGTGATATCAATAAGCGCTTACCCAGTAAGTATTTAGTAAACGACTCCTTATACTTATGGCACGACGTCAAGGTTGAGCCACACTTATATCAAACTCGACCCAGATAATTAAATGGTTTGGATCAAGCTAGTCAAATCCAAACCTTCTCACAAGCCGGTGTGGTGTAAGATCCTGCATATACGAAGAACACGAGGAACATGAACTAAAGTAGTATTTATACTAATGGGTCTATCTAACTATTCTATCACACTAAGAGGCCGTTTACCAAACAGTTATCCTGGTAAGCGCTTATCAAGACATATTACCTTACCGGATGAATATGATAAAGACCAAAAATCTTACATGGTAAGAACGAGACAAGGACCAAGAGTCTTACCCGGTAAGTGAGGACGACGACTCTTACCACAATAAGTATTTGTCGGGTTAATTGTTGCATACAATGTCGTTTTGGTGGACTAAAATCTTACCTGATAAGTAAACAATAGTATTAAATTTTACCAGTAAGTACTTATCAAATAAATGTTTGATAAATGAACCCATAACTCTCTGACTTATTATTGTGTCACTAACTCAACAACCACTACTAACAACCACATAAATACAAGTATAAAAGCAAGTACAACTACTAACAACTGAAATCTTATCAATGTCTAAGGTTTCATTATTCTTCTATAACATCTAAACTATTATTCTTTAATAAATACCAAATTAAATGAGAAACATGTGTAATAAGGGGTGTTAGAAGAAAACACTTATTCTTGGGCTGTTTACCAAACGCTTACTCGGGTAATTGAACATCAAATCACATCAGTTTAACGGATGAATGTGGTAAAGAGTAATAATCTTACCCGGTAAGTGAGGTCGATGACTCTTACCACGGTAAACGCTTACCGGGTAAATTGTTGTATATAATACCATTTTGGTGGATTAAAATCTTACTCGGTAAGTGAATGATAGTGTTAAATTTTACCGGCAAAACGCTTACCGGGCAAGTGTTTGATAACCGGCCCCTAAGTTATTGATTTTTAACTTTTTTAAAACTAACCGATAACTAAACTAAATAAGGTTCAGTTTCAGGTTATTCAGTTCGATAACTAGTTAAACCGAAAAGAATTTCGTTAGACATTTGCTCTAATATTTTTCCAAATTCACTCTTCATTGCTTTCAATATATGTTATTTGGTTTACTTAGTTTAACCAAATTAGAAAAAACTTAACCGAAAACCGAACATAAAATATGATATATTTATTCGGTTAACCAAACTTTTTAACCCAAATCTCATTTGAATCGAATGGGTTATTTGATTTCGATTATTTTTTACGGGGTAAATTGTTACATACATACTATTTTGATATACTGTAATCTTAGGGCTTGTTTGTTTACCTCTTAATAGTTCTATTAAGACGCAGTATCTGAATCGTTAAGTGGTGAATCTTGTTTGGCAAAAAAAAAGTCTGTCTCTTAATGGTTCTAAAACCTTCTGAATGATTTTGTATCTTGGGTCTCCCTTAACCATTAAGGGCCCTAATTTCATCGTAAACAAATTACCAAACAATTATATTTCATTTTGCACTATATAATGAGAGTCTCTTAATCATTCTACATCAAATCATTCAGTAACTTCAAAATAACCCCTTACCTAGTAAAATAAGTTAGAGAGTTGATTAATACTGGTTAGCATTTACAGGTATGCATTAGGATAAACAGTGTTAAAATAAGTTAAGAACAATTATTTGTATCAATAATATATTTGGGCCTTCTATGGGCCATTACCTCATTCCTGTGGCCCAGTATCTCGTATTTTCCAAAAAGAAAATAAAAAAGAAAATGGAAAATATTAAAACCGAAGAAATGAAGTGGCGCCATATTCATGCGCCTTGTATCAAACGGTGACACACACACACACACACACACACACACACACAGAGATTCGTGATTTGAAACCCTAGTAGTGGATGAACTTGAATTCTAGTGATCGATGGGTGAGTATGAATCTCGTAACTGTTTTCTGAATCGAATTTTGATTTGAAAGTGTGTTGGTTGTTTGATTGATTGATTGAATTGCATTTGCAGGGAGTCGGAATCCGTTTGCGAGGATAATGAAGACGCTGGAGAAAACCGGCGGTGGTGAATTCGGCAAATACTACAGCTTACCTTCTCTCAATGATACCAGAATTGGTAGCTACTCTTCACTTGATTCATCTAATTTCTGCTGTAAATTGTTCTCCAGAATTCGAGTTATAGTCGGTTGGATCATGTTTCTGATCATCGTTCATATAACACTCCTAATCATTAGCCATGTGTTTTTTCAAATTTACATCTCTATAATTACGAATCCGTTCAGAAACTTCATTTTTTTCTTACACTTTGATCCCTCCACAGATTACGAACCTGTCAATTTTGGACCTATAGCTATATTAGTAATTTTAGCAAGGAAAATGATTAAGTGGCCGTTTAGAAGTCTAACACTATAATTTATTTTATCGAGTAAGATTGTAGTACTTTAAAATGGTAATGTATGCAACGATTTACCCGGTAAGCACTTACCCAGGTAAGAGTCGGCACCCTCACTTACCAAGGAAGACTCTCTATCTTTATTATTGCTCTTATCGGGTAAGATTTTTGACCCTTGTTATGTACATCAGATAAGGAAAATTACCCGAGAAGCACTTACCAGATAAGAGTTTAGTAAACGGCCCCTAAGTGGTGAAAACATGTGATCAAAAATTCAAAATGACTATTTTAGTTAATTTCCCTTTTATAGCATATTATATAAAAAATTATTTCAAAAATGTCCTAAAAATTTGTTAGCCGTCCAAAGTCGTCGTATCAACTTATTGTATCATTTTTTATGTACAATTATTTGATGTTTGGGCATTTTGGAAATATGTCGTCTTATAAAAATGATTTTGTTGAAGTGTATGTTTATATGTGACAGATAGGCTTCCGTTTTCAATCAGAATACTTTTGGAGTCGGCACTCCGCAACTGCGATGAGTTCCAGGTGACAACGAAGGATGTCGAGAACATTCTCGACTGGCAAAACACTTCTCCCAGAAAGGTTGAAATTCCATTTAAACCTGCCAGAGTTCTTCTTCAGGTACGGCAAGGTGTCACTTCTCTTCATTTCATATGCAATCACATGAACGTGTACCACATTGGTCTTGAAGCTTTTATTTTTTTTAAAAATTAGCTAATGTCCCATAAGAAAAAAAAAGGAAATAAGAAGTCTATTGAAAGCTTGTGACTAAGGGTGTGAAGGGACTGTTCACCAAACACTTACATAGTAAACGTTTAGTGGGTATCACTTCCACGGTAAGAAGTATAGCAAGGACCGAGAATCTTACTCGGTAAGTGTGGAAGAAAGACTCTGGCCGTTTACTAAACGCTTACCCGGTAAGTACTTACCGGGTAATTTTCCTCACTGGATAAATATGGCAAAGGCCAAGAATCTTATCCGGTAAGAGCAATGATAAGGATGGAGAGTCTTACCCGGTAAGTGAGGGTGACGGTTCTTACCCGGGTAAACGCTTACCAGGTAAATTGTTGTATATGAAACGTTTTGATGTACTACAATCTTACCTAATAAAAATAAATTATAGTGTTTGACTCCTAACGTTAAGCACTTACCGGGCAAGCATTTAGATAAACGGCCCCTTACGTAAGAGGCACTTGCTAACGGTTCATTTTGATGGCCGAGAATGTTTGCCCTATAAGACAGGTGACTTTTGCCGATATGCCTATAAACGTTTACCCAATAAGCATTTGTATAACGTCTTTAAGTAAAAGAAAGAGGGTATTTTCGTTAGGAGCCTTTCATATGTCTGCCAAAAAGCTTTACAAAAAGCTCCTAAAAAGGGGTTCACTGGAGGTCCTCTGAACGAGTTACGTGTTGTGAGTTTGTGATGACACAGACGTGAACGTGTACCATGTGCTATATACTGTAGGATTTTACCGGTGTTCCGACGATTGTCGATCTTGCGGGCATGCGTAATGCTATGGACAAGCTCGGTGGCGATCCTAGTAAAATTAATCCATTGGTAAGATTTTCAACACCATTAAGACGATTCTTAAGATGCAATTTTTGGAGGAATGAGATGTTCCTTAACGATTAAGGTTATGTTCTTGAGCACGGAAGACTACTTACACAATTACATATACAGGTTCCAGTCGATCTTGTCATTGATCACTCGGTCCAAGTTGATGTATACAAATCGGAAAACGCTCTACAAGCCAATATGGAACTCGAGTTAGAACGGAATAAAGAACGCTACTCTTTCTTGAAATGGGGAGCAAATGCTTTCGACAACATGCTTGTAGTTCCTCCAGGAGCTGGAATTGTTCACCAGGTATCATTTTACCCTAAAGATTTTCTTCCGTTCTTCGTGTATTGATAGATATAAGTGAAAAAACCGCTGCTTCCAGGTGAACCTTGAATACCTTGCGAGAGTTGTCTTTAATACAAACGGCATTCTCTACCCCGATACCGTCTTTGGAACGGATTCTCATACAACGATGATAGACGGATTAGGTGTTGCCGGGTGGGGAGTTGGTGGGATAGAAGCTGAAGCTGCGATGCTTGGTCAGGTAAGATCTTCGACCTGGGTGAATGGTAAGAATGCAACTGGACTCTTATCTTATTTATCTATGAACGAAAACAATTACGGGCCATAATTTACGATACAACTTTTAAAGTGTCACATCAGCTTTAGAAATTATCTTGAGATTACTCTCCGCTGCGATGATTTCTAACCAACTTCTCAAGTGACACCACATCATAAAAAAATTATATTTTAATCAAAGAACAATAAAACTACCATTAATTTATTAATTAGATAATTGTTATATATTAAATAATTTATTATAAAGTAAAATAGAATAAATTAAATAAAATGTTGTATTTTAATTTATAAAATGTTTTTATTCAATAAATAAATGTTTATATTTATGCTTTAATTTTTTTAAAGAAAGTTACGATGTTTAGTATTAACAAAAAAAAATGGAAAACTATATTAATTGGAGGCATAGTTGTGTAATATATTTTATTTGTATGGTAATATTAATAACATTTTTCATTTTTTAATATTTGTTAATATATTAATGTTATATTTGTAATTTAATAAAAAAAGATATATCAATATATTTAATTAATGATCATACTATTTGTATTCTTTTATAATCAAAATCTCATTTAATAAATTACCTATACTTTTTTCTATAAACTTACTTCATAAAACATAAAAAAAACTTGATGTGACCTAAAACAATTTCTTATACTATTTACTGTCATATCAATAGAATATATAGATGTGGCATTACAATTACCAAAAAATACAATTTCGAATTAAGAAATCGTACTTGCAACCACCATAATTTCTTAAGAAATTATACTGTGTACGCATAGAAATTACCGTAGTGAATGGTAATAATCCAAAAAAATTACTAAGCCACCTTTTGAAAACTAATAAATAATAAACAAAATATATCCTCATAATAAAAGGCAACTAATTAATATTAACTGCTAAGCCCTTCAAAGTCTCACAAATCACCCACACCCCCTTGAGATCGCGTTGGTACACTCTACCAAAATGCTCATGAGTGAACCCGTAACAAGGTAGTCATAGGGGACTCTACAGCTAACTTGCTCCTAAACCATAAAAGTCGTAATCTGAGTTATGTTCTCGGTCGTAATGATAAATATACAATTTGCCTACAGGCTATGAGCATGGTCCTTCCAGGTGTAGTCGGTTTTGAGCTGTCTGGAGGCTTGAAAGATGGAGTTACGGCTACGGATTTGGTCTTGACAGTGGCTAAAATGCTTAGACAACATGGCGTTGTTGGCAATTTTGTTGAGTTCCATGGTAATTAACCTCGTGCTTGTGACATAATCATCATGGTATTAGTTCTCCCTTATTAAGGGGATCAAACAAACTATGTCTTAATTACAAACTAGAGAGGAATTTTGTAACTTCTTTAGAAATGTTGGAACGGAGGTTTAGCAGCCGAACAAGGTTTTTGTTCATGTGATATGAAGATTCAAAGTTACGTGATCTTGCAGGTGAAGGCATGAGTGAAATAGCGTTACCAGATCGTGCAACGATCGCAAACATGTCTCCTGAATATGGTGCAACAATGGGTTTCTTTCCTGTGGATCATGTTACCCTACAATATCTAAAGCTGACCGGCAGAAGTGATGAAATGGTAAATACTCACTATAACTAAATCGGGTTTATAGGACCCCAACAATATTAAGGGGTCATTTGCCTAAACACTTACCCGGTAAGCGGTTGACGGTAAAATTCAACGCTAATGCTATCTCTTACTTACCTGGTAAGATTTTAGTCTACCAAAACGACATCGTATGTAACAACTTACCCAATAAGCGCTAACCGTGGTAAGAGTTGTCGCCATCACTAACCGGGTAAGACTCTCGGTCCTTGCCTTCGCTCTTACCGGGTAAAATTCTTGGTCCTTGACATATTCATCTGGTAAGGTAATGTGACTTGGTAAGCGCTTACCCGAGTAAGTATTTGGTAAACGGCCCCTAAGTGTCTTAATCGATCGTTTTTTAATAGCATTCTATAAACACATCTTTTTATAGGACACTTGTTTTTATAAGACATATTTTCAAATAGTGTTTTATAAAATAAATAATACGACATTTGTGATAAAAATGTCCAAAAAGGCTTGTTAGCATGCCAAAAAATGTCTTGTAAACTTATTGCAACACTCTTAAATTGAGTCTTATAAAAAACATTTTTGGCGTCTTATAAACCCAATATTATTGTAGTGTCTGTGTTTTTGTTCTTTTCGTTATACTGACAACGAGTTATGAGAATATGTAGATATCCATGATAGAGTCATATCTGCGGGCAAACAAGTTATTTATGGATTACAGTCAGGTACAGACCCGTGTAAATCCGTAACTCAAGCTTGTATTTCACTGTTCTCTTTGTTTTCTGACTCGGGTTTTTTCTGTGGCAGCCAGAGAGAGAGATGGTGTTTAGCTCTCACTTGAAGTTGGATCTTCAAGATGTCAAACCTTGTGTCTCCGGGCCAAAGCGGTACTATCTCGTTGTTGCAGAAAACAGCTACTGGTATCCTCCATGGCTTTCTCATGTGTCTGATTTTGTTTTCTTATTTGCAGGCCTCATGATCAAGTTCTTTTGAATGAAATGAAAGCTGATTGGCATGCATGCTTGGACAATAAAGTTGGATTTAAGGTGGGCTTAGAAACTTCCTTAAATGTTAAATATAAATCGTAATTTGGGCCGATCCCTGGGAAAGCTTCTCGGCTTGAAGCTTGGTACCTTGCTGAGTGAGTCTCGGCTCGACTTGTATAGGCTTGGTTCTTATGGGCTCTTATAAAGCGCATAGTCTCGGCTTGACTCATATGGGCGCATATCAAATTAAATAAACCTCTAGAATTAAATTTACATATACACTAACCCTAAATAGTTACAATTAGGAGTCTCCAGAGGCTAAGAGTACTAGCTAAATACATATAAACTACACCATGGCCCATTCAAGTCCAGTGGGCTTGGCTCATTTAGGCTGCACCGGTTGGCGAGCCTGAGCCACCATGGCTTAAGCTGCCCAAGCTTTTCGACAAGGCAGTTATCTTATCTATACCCTTAATCCTAATTTATGGACCCTTTTAAGCATAACAGGTAATTTGACAAGGTTTGACAATGACTGGTGAGCCATGTCACACTTAACATCAAGTGTTTAACTTGAATGGCACCTGGTTCGTCCTCAAGGTGTTCTTGGCATTGGTAGCGTCTGGTCACCATTCCCCATTTTGCTAAGGGGTTTGTTGACCGAGATGTAGCACTGTTTAACCTACAAGTCACCATTCCCCGTTTACCTAATTGCTTACCCGGTAAGCGCTTATTGATAGGAGTCAACACTATGATTTATTTTGATGCGTAAGATTTTAGTATATCAAAACATATCGAATGCAACAATTTAGTGGTTAAGCGCTTGCCTGGGTAAGAGTCGTCATCCTCACTTACCGGGTACGACTCTCCATCATTCTCATCGCTCTTACCCTTGACCCTTCTCATGTTCATCCGATGAGGAAATTTATCCGGTAAGTACTTACCTGATTTGTTTTTAGTAAACAGGCCCTAATTCTTTTCAGTTGGATGACTTGTAGGGATATGCTATACCAAAAGAGGACCAAAGCAAGATTGTGAAGTTTCAATTCGGGGAGATCCCAGCACAACTCAGACATGGAGATATCGTTATAGCAGCCATTACGAGCTGCACAAACACGTCGAATCCTACTGTTATGCTTCAAGCTGGTTTGTTAGCAAAGAAAGCTTGCGATCTGGGGGTCGAGGTTAGTCTGTTAGATACCTAATTTTAGTTGCCTGATAAGTATTCAAATATCTAATCTTTCAAACTTCACTTTATGATCAGGTGAAACCATGGATTAAGACAAGTCTAGGCCCGGGTTCCAAAGTTGTGACCAAGTATCTGGAGAAAAGGTAAGAAAATTCTTCAAACGAAAGGTACAACTTAAGGTCCCAGAAAGCATTTTTAGTACACTTACCTGCTATTGCATCTGCAGTGGATTGCTAAGATATTTGAAGCAGTTGTGCTTTCACATTGTTGGTTATGGATGCACCACTTGTATCGGTAATTCTGGTGACCTTGACGAATCAGTGGCATCTGCTATTACTGAAAATGGTATCGTATTTGCAACAAGTTCATTCTCTCCATATTTTCACTTTAAAAAAGTTTCTGCTTCTTCCATATACCTTCAGACATCGTGGCTGCAGCTGTGCTGTCTGGAAATCGCAATTTTGAGGGCCGCATACATCCGCTTACAAGAGCAAATTATCTTGCTTCTCCTCCCCTTGTGGTTGCTTATGCTCTTGCTGGCACGGTACATAATTCCTCTACCTTCTTTTTGAAGTATATAATATTTACATACGGCAAATACTCACACACCCACTCCTCACCTTTGGCAAGGCTAGAACCCTTGACCTCCTAGGAGGCTGGGCTCTACCAATAACCTGGGTACCGTTGGGCCAAATGACTCTTTGGTACACCATCATTCATGTTACATGTTTGACTGTTGAAAGGCAAACGTGTACTTTCCGTAGACATGAATTCTCTTCTTATGACATCAAATTGTTTCTATGTTGGCATATTCGAGATTCAGCTCATGGAATAAAGAATTCAAATAAAGCTGATTTGGTCAAGTCTAGTGAGACTTTGTGCACGTGATAAACCGAGTCGTTGCTATCCCATTTTTTTAGTAGTAGTTTCCTTCTTTTTAGCAGTAAATTAGCTTGTTTCTGTTTCATCTTCCTTGTATTTAAAGCCATTCTGGCATCGTTCAAGATATAAAGTATTTTTGAGAGCATTACCTGAGTTTACTTTATCATATTGGTATCAGAGCAACTTTCGATCACAAAAGGAGTGTAAATGAGTGACGATAAGTTGAAGGTGCCGGTGTTCGATGGCCACTACGAACACTGGAGTGAGATGATGGAAAATTTGCTGCGTGCAAAACAAATGTGGCATCTAATTGATCCAGGCATTAGAGAACCTACTGTGGGGGTTGCCCAAAGTGAAGCAGAGAAGAAGAAATTAGAAGAGCTTCGAATGAAAGACCTGCAAGTCAAACACTATCTATATCAAGCAATTGATAGAGTTACGTTTGAGCAGATCTTGGATCGAAAAACATCGAAGGCAATGTGGGATTCGATGCAAAAGCGATTTGCAGGAAATGAAAGGGTGAAAAAATCGATGCTGCAGAAGCTTCGAAGAGATTTCGAAGTATTAGAGATGAAAACAAGTGAAACCGTTCCGGAATATTTCGGTAGAGTGCTAACGATTTCCAATCAGATGAGGAGTAATGGAGAGGTGATGACAGACGTCAAAATTGTTGAGAAAATCCTTCGCACTTTGACCGAAAAGTATATGTATGTAGTTGTATCGATTGAAGAATCTAAGAACATTGATCAAATGTCCATAGAGGAGCTACAAAGCACACTAATAGTTCATGAGCAAAAGTTCAAGAAGAACGAACGAGAAGAGGAACAAGCGTTGAAGGTGGATGCAGGTGACAGTTCCAATGGCAGAGGACGAGGCAGAGGACGATACAATTACAGGGGAAGAGGTCGCGGTAGAGGAAGACAGTCGTCTTTCCGCAAAGAAACGATTGAATGTTACAATTGTCACAAATTAGGGCATTATTCCTACGAATGTCCTAATGCAAAAGAAGCAAATTATGCTGGCTTTGATGAGAATGAGGAAGTTATGCTCATGGCTGATGGTGGAATAGAAGAGAATGGTTTTATGACTCGGACAAAGAAATAAAGCAAGGGGCGGTTGTGGTTTTTGGATTCCGGCTGCTCTAATCATATGTGCAGCGACAAAGAAAGGTTTGTGGAACTGGATCAAAACTTCTCCAACACTGTCAAACTCGGAAACAACACACGCATGACAGTAGAAGGAAAGGGAAACATAAAGCTAATTCTGAATGGAACAACCTATGTGATCAGAGAAGTATACTTTGTACCAGAACTCAAGAACAACCTTCTAAGCATCGGACAACTCCAGCAGAAAGGTCTGTCCTTTTTATTTCAATCCGATATTTGCAAAGTGTTTCATCCAGACAAAGGATTGGTATTTCAATCCAGCATGAGTACCAATCGGATGTATCCACTTAGTGAAGATGCTATCGAAACCACAGAGTCAAGAACAGCTGAATGCATGTATTCAAGTGATGATGACATTGCAACACTATGGCATGAAAGGTTGGGACATATTAGCAAGACCAACATGAAAACCCTGCAGCATAAACAAATGGTACGTGATCTACCTGAGTTTATTATTGATAAGTCTGTGTGTGAAGACTGTATGATAGGAAAGCAAACTAAGGAAGTCATACCAAAGACCAGCTCATGGCGTGCAGAAGAAATTTTGGAGTTAATACACTCTGACATATGTGGACCAATAACCCCAAGTTCACATACTGGCAAGAGGTACTTCTTGAGCTTTATTGATGACTATAGTAGAAAGGGGTGGGTCTATTTATTGACTGAAAAGTCACAAGCTTTTGAAAGCTTCAAGGAGTTCAAAAGTAAGGTAGAAAAGGAAACAGGAAAGGTGATCAAAACACTTAGAACGGACAGGGGAGGAGAATATCTCTCTAATGATTTCATCAAGTTTTGCAGGGAACATGGAATTAAAAGGCAATTAACCACAAGTTTCTCCCCACAGCAAAATGGAGTTGCAGAAAGGAAGAATAGAACTGTTATAGACATGGTGGTCACGCTGTTATCTGCAAAGAACATGCTTAAGATATTTTGGGCAGAAGCAATAACCTGGAGCTTTTATGTGTTAAACAGAAGCACAACCAAGGCACTTCCAGATGTAACCCCACAAGAAGCCTGGAGTGGGTTGAAACCTACAGTCAACCACTTTCGAATCTGGGGGTGTGTGGCCCATGTACATGTGCCTAAGCAAAAAAGAACCAAATTAGACAACAAAAGTCTTGTCTGTGTTTTGACAGGTGTAAGCGAGGAGTCAAAGGCCTACAGATTAATCAATCCAGAAACTATGAAGGTCATAATCAGCAAAGATGTGGTGTTTGAAGAGCATAAAGAATGGGATTGGAATCAAACAAAAGAAATGCAGACCACTAAAGAAGAAATATCATGGGGAAATTACGATTTTATCGATGAGAGTGATGCAGAGATTCACGAGCTCGTGGAGCCTAATCCACCAGCAAGTGCCACGGGTCCGGAGTTTCCAGCAGATGTTCCTGGTCCTAGTACTACACAATCAAGGGAGGGAAGACAACGTAAAATTCCAAGTTACCTTCGAGACTATGTCACCGGTGACGAGTTTGACTCAGATGAAGAGGAAGTGCATATTGTAGACATATCCCATGACGATCCAGTCCACTTTGAAGATGCTGTCAAAGAAGAAAAGTGGAAGACTGCAATGGATCGAGAAATTGAAATGATTGAGAAGAATCAAACTTGGTGTCTAGTTGATTTACCAGAAGATGCTAAGTGTATTGGCGTAAAGTGGGTATACAAAACCAAATTAAACGAAAGGGGCGAAGTTGATAAGCACAAAGCAAGATTGGTGGCTAGAGGTTACGGTCAAGAATTTGGAGTAGATTACATGGAAGTGTATGCTCCGGTTGCAAGAATGGATACGATCCGGCTGATGCTAGCTTTGGCAGCACAAAGAGGATGGGTCATCTACCAAATGGACGTGAAATCCACTTTTCTCCATGGAACCCTGCAAGAAGATGTGTATGTCCAGCAGCCACAGGGCTACACTGTCAAAAACAATGAACACAAGGTATATAAGCTGCAAAAGGCATTGTACGGGCTCAAGCAAGCGCCGAGGGCCTGGTACAGTCGGATTGAAGCCCATTTCGTTAATAAAGGCTTTACAAGGAGCAGATCAGAACATACTTTGTTTATAAAGAAGCAAGGAGAAAAACTGCTCTTTGTAAACATATATGTAGATGACTTGTTATTTACAGGAAATGATGAGAAAATGATGGAAGAATTCAAGACAACCATGAAAGCTGAATTTGAGATGACTGATTTGGGAAGAATGAGGTATTTCCTTGGAATTGAGGTAATGCAAGACTCATCAGGCATTCATATTTGCCAAAGAAAATATGCAATTGATATACTTAGTCGTTTCAAGATGACGGACAATGCAGTGGTCAATCCTATGGTCCCTGGATGCAGATTGGGAGATGAGAGTGGTGAACCAGTTGATGAAACTCTATTCAAACAACTGGTTGGTAGTCTGATGTATATCACCACTACACGACCTGATATACAATTTGCGGTGAGCTTCATAAGTCGTTTTATGGCAAAACCCAGAGAAGTTCACTTTGCAGCTGCTAAAAGAGTGTTGAGGTATATTCAAGGAACCTTGGATTATGGAATTTGGTATAAACGGGAAGGAAAAGGGAAGATGGAAGTTTACACTGACAGTGACTTTGCTGGAGATGTCACTGACAGGAAAAGCACGTCTGGTTACTTAGTATTGTGGGATGGAGCTGCAGTTTCGTGGTCATCAAAGAAGCAAAGTATAGTTGCCCTGTCATCTACAGAAGCAGAGTATGTAGCAGCTGCTTCATGTGCTTGCCAAGTGATTTGGGTACGGGAAATTCTGGAAGAACTTGGTGAGCGACAAGTCGGAGGAAACATAATAAAGTGTGATAATACTTCAGCAATTCAACTGTCAAGAAATCCTGTTCTTCATGGCAGGTGTAAACACATTGGGGTGAGATATCATTTCTTAAGAGATCTGGTCAGCAAAGGAACGATTACTATGGAATATGTTGAAACGAGAAACCAAGTGGCGGATATTTTCACTAAGCCTCTGCATCGTGATGTTTTTCAAGGGCTTAGAGAAAGGCTTGGAGTGTGTTCTTTTAAGGGCAAACAAGACATGAACCATGGTCATGTTTGAGGGAGGGTTCTGTTGGCATATTCGAGATTCAGCTCATGGAATAAAGAATTCAAATAAAGCTGATTTGGTCAAGTCTAGTGAGACTTTGTGCACGTGATAAACCGAGTCGTTGCTATCCCATTTTTTTAGTAGTAGTTTCCTTCTTTTTAGCAGTAAATTAGCTTGTTTCTGTTTCATCTTCCTTGTATTTAAAGCCATTCTGGCATCGTTCAAGATATAAAGTATTTTTGAGAGCATTACCTGAGTTTACTTTATCATTCTAGTGATGTAGAGTCATCTTTTCCTAAACAATTTATGTAATATTTGACGGTACCTTTGACTTTAGAAAGTCAAATGTTAAACATTTCCTGAAACAGAGGGAGTCTCATGCTTGCTCTCTGGCTCTATGTTTTTATGACCATTCTTCGTTGACTATCAGGTTGATATCGACTTTGAGACAGAACCGATTGCATTAAGTAGAGATGGGATGGAAATCTTTTTAAGGGACATTTGGCCATCTAGTGAAGAAGTAGCAGATGTGAGCTAACTCTAATCTTTCAACGGTTTATAATAGTCTACCTATGCGATTACATGACCGTGTTACTTTTTTGAACTGTGATCCAGATTGTGCAATCTAATGTGTTGCCTGACATGTTCAAATCTGTATATGAGACCATAACAGAAGGTCAACCCACATGGAATAATTTACATGTACCTTCTAGCAGACTCTACAAGTGGGATGCGAGATCAACTTATATACATGAGCCTCCTAACTTGAAAGATATAAGCATGTCTCCTCCAGGTCCATGCAAGGTACAAGATGCATATTGCTTGCTCACCTTAGGGGACAGTATTACGACAGACCATATTTCACCAGGCGGAAGCATCCACAAAGACAGTCCTGCTGCCAAATACCTAATGGAACTTGGGGTTGATAAGAGAGACTTCAATTCATATGGAAGTCGACGTGGCAATGATGAGGTGATGGTTAGAGGCACTTTTGCTAATATAAGACTGGTGAACAAATTATTGGAGGGAGAAGTTGGACCTAAAACTATTCATATTCCCAGTGGAGAAAAGCTCTCTGTGTTTGATGCTGCCATGGTAATACTCTGAACCCTCTTGACTTTTGAGGCCAGCTAAACTTTTTCACATCAAAACGGGTTAAACTTTTGTTAGGCCTCACGTGACAGAATCTTCTGTCTGTAAAGTCGTTATTTGTTTCAGGTATTTAAAAAAATACTGTAAAAATGTGAAGAACCCATGTCAATTTTGGAACTGGAAGAAGCTTAGTTGACCTTAAAAGTCGAAGCTATACCACTTTGTGCATATAACCAGGTTTTCTTTTGACCAGAGGTACAAAGGGGAGGGGCAAGATACGATAGTGTTGGCTGGCGCCGAGTATGGAACTGGAAGTGCTCGAGATTGGGCTGCAAAAGGTCCAAAGTTGATGGTAAACTTGCTATTGTCATAGGTTTGACTTTGACCTTTTGATCCCTATACTTGCATATGTGACCTATTTTCTGTACACCCAGGGTGTTAAAGCAGTAATAGCAAAGAGCTTTGAAAGGATTCATCGCAGTAATCTAGCAGGCATGGGTATAATTCCACTTTGTTTTTCGCCTGGGGAGGATGCAGAGACTCTAGAGTTGACTGGCCGTGAACGCTACACCATTGACCTTCCAAAAGATATCAACAAGATAACTCCCGGACAAGAAATCATAGTCAAAACAGACAACAGGAAGTCATTCAAATGTACACTAAGGTTCGACACAGAGGTAATCGGATCTACCTGAACCCTTTTGCGGTTTTGTCTATTTGGTGGTGGAGAACCAGTCGTGTTCATGATAACTTTAAATTGTAGGTGGAACTGGCCTACTTTGATCATGGGGACATTTTGCAATATGTTATTAGGAGCTTCATTGGTTCAAAAACAGGGGAACGTGCATGCAAGTCCAACTGAGATCACAGGCTAACAGGTGTGGCAATGAAACTGGCGTCAAAAATTCAGTTCCTTATGGGTGTATCCGAGTGTTATTGTATAGGTAGGTTGGTAGGCAGGCATGTAATAACAGATGAGAAATGTTTATGTATCTCGAGTGTTATTGTATAGGTAGGTTGGTAGGCAGGCATGTAATAACAGATGAGAAATGTTTATGTATCTCGAGTGTTATTGTATAGGTAGGTTGGTAGGCAGGCATGTAATAACAGAAGATAAATGTTTATGTATACGTGATATCTTATTTGAGTAACTCAACTAAATTAAAGGTAGCCCAATCCATAAATCCTGAGTACGAGAATGGTTAAACTACCCACAAATGTGATCAAAATCTGCGTATGTCCAAAATCCAAATATTAGTTTAATAGGAATTCATATATTGTTTCTAGGAGGACTTGGATTTGAACTATATACGATTCAAACGAACAGTTGAAATTGTTAAATCCAAATGATAAACAATTAGACATGTTTGCATGACTATAAATATATATATATATATATATATATATATATATATATCTACACACACCAATCACCATCTTACCCTTGTGCATTGGTGATAACTATAACTACACATAATTTATAAATACATCAAACAACGCATGAATGAAAACTTTTTTGATAGTAATATATCTCAATGTCCATTAATTCAGTTGAGTAAACCTAAGCCTCAAGACAAGTAAACAGCTGTATAGAGGGGTGGTAAAGAGCATCAAAATTAGCGGTATGTGATCATATATGAAAAAAGAAATTACATTGTTGTAAAAGATGAGTGTTGTCATCAGATTTGAAGGCCTTTTTCTGATTGTAGACCTCCCATGTCATTCTCCAGCAGTAGTTATAGATACAAGCACCATAACATAAATTGGATGAGAACATATAAAACCCTGCCAAAATACATAGTCAGGTTCACTTGTAATGCCTCAAGGGTAACCAAATTGTACTCTGTTTGGTGACTAGAAGCATCATGTTATTTTAGAACACCTCTAATAAATAAATAGTTATGAACTCATTCGCTATAACAATCGTGTACTTTTGAAGCTAAATTTTCTCCAACTCAAGTGAAAAGTGGGCTCTAGATTTGGGGCAGAGGTGTTCACAGAAAAGTAGGAATTTTTACATGCTTGGTTGCTATACAAAATTTTAACATAGCCTGTGTACATGTGCTGATCCTTCTATCTAATTTATTAACATACACACATCAACGCTCCTTTAAGCTTATATAGAAGTACCTTTCAAACCAAAATTAAGCGTTATAAGGGTTGATGCGGATCCATTTTGTAGAGGACCACTTGTTCCCTTTAATAACGGGGCACCCACCTTAGAAATAAGAAGAGAAAGTATAGAGTTAGTGCCATACAACTTATGTCATGCAAGCTTAGAAAAGGGTATTTGATACATGAAGCTCAATGAATATGGGAAACAAAGATGTGGCTCTCGATCAGGATATGTTGAGCTATAAATAACTTGATGTATATAAAAACAACTGACCATGCAAACTTGAAGGATCCGGACTTGCATCTGGCTTCATGCTCCAGAAAAGCAACGCATCCCCCATTTTTGGTTTAACAGATAGCCCACCTTTACCACATTCAGATAGTTCATTCCACCACGGTACAGCACTAATGTTTCCCTTTGCAGAAGGGAAGACTGTCTCACCCCCTTCTTCAACATCCGATCTGTAAATGGTGAAAGAATTAAAAAGATGTGAGGAGATATCATACAAAATATGAGATAAGAAGACATCACTTACAGGTACATCAGAACTGTAGCCATCCGTTGACCCCCATTCTTGGTGTTGTAATCATCAAGAAAGTAGTCATAGTGAGGTTCATATTTCTGACCTACTTCATAGTGGAGAACTTGAAGTCCTTCCCCGTGTTCTGAACAGAAATGAAATGAGTTTATCTGTTTATGTAAGATCAGGTGACTAGGTGCATTAAGCTACAAGAAAGCCGCCAAATAGGTTCTCAGGACCCACTAGAGTAGATTAAAGAGATACAATATGGGCACAGCGAAGGTGGATAGTAAAGCTAGATAGATTAGTGGTTGCAGTACGAGAAACAATGGAGTTTACAGAGGCGATATAAACAGAGCATCAAAAGCGAAGATGTGGGACGATCAACAACTACCAAGACTAATGGCATGACCTACAAAGCTGGTTTTTTGAGGAAAGCCAGCTCTTTTGGTTGTCGAAGGTACTTCCTTAATACAGGCGAAACTAAATGCAGAACTTATAAGTGAACAAAATATTGAAAATACTTCCTCCTAAAATTCATACCTACAGGCAAGAAGGTGAAGTCTGCAATCCTTTTCTCAATGGCCCGAACTGTTTCATCTTGGCCTCGTTCCAGAAATGTACCAGAACTCGTACGTACCCTGAATGAAAGACGTGAATCTCTAGATGATAAAAGTAACCGAATGATACTCGAAACATAATCATAGTAGTAGCAAGAATAACACCTAGCAAAAGGAGCTAAATAGGAGGAACTACTAAACAATCAGAAATACGAACAAGAAACTGCACACCTACTATCTTTGCTCTTTCCAGTGACGCTATCGACGACTGTTGACTTTTCCATATGAGGTTTAGCAATTTTAATTAGATGTTCACACTCGTCTTGCGACTGCCATAAAAAAAATATACATTCAGTGTGTTATTACGCAAACTGCAAATCTGCAATCGAGTTAGCTATTGAATTTTTATTTTAGAAAGGTCAGTTGGCTACAAAATTCATGCACTCGATGCTTATCCTCATCTACAGAAGAACCATTTCAGTACAATATAAGAAGTTATTTGATTGTGTTATTTCTACAGCAACTAGCTCGAAGGTACGAAAGACGATCTCAAACAACAATGATAGGGTGAAGATGTTGACATTTATGCCTACACATGCTACACTCGATGAACAGAAGGAAAAAAACCGTCCTAACCAGGAAATTATGATAGATGACGGCTCTAGGCTCCCATGAGATCACTTCAGCCCAATGATCTACTCTACCATCGCTGCCTTCACTTCTATATTCACTCAAAATGTAAGCAGTTCAATTCCAACCAAAATCAAGTAATATCACAACAACAAAATTAAAATAAACTTCAATCTAAACGCAAACTGACCTGTCAGCGTTGGTAATACGGTGCACAATGGAGCTCAGATCATGAGCATTCGGATAATTGCGTGAAGTGCTTGGAATCGAAAGAATTCCAAGAGCGAGAAGAATCAAAATGAAGAATAAACAGATGATGAGTATCGAAAAGATGAGCGTTGGTGATGACGAATTGCGTGAAGGACCCCGAGGGTGTAATCTCCCTTTCGATGCCATTTTTGAAGATCCTAAGAGACAGATCGCGTCCAAAACCCTAGAATTCTGCTGGAACCGGAGATTATTTATGAGCTGTTGTTCCTTTCGATTCGAGTGTTTGTATTAATTTTTGAAATATTCAGTTTCTTACTATATCTGATGAAGAATTCAGGAATAACGGAAATGATGTGGGGACCTCTAATGACGTCATCCTAAAATCAGGAGGTATTTGGGCACGTAACATTAGATAATTAAAAAGTAAAATTAATAGCCATTCCTTATAAATATACCAGTAATTTTCTTTTTATTAACCTGATATCCAACTTGTTATGCGAGCCGACAAATTCCAGGACGACCACCTGCTTTGTAGATAATCTGGAGTCACCATATTTGAACCTCCGTGGCCACAATGAAATTTTTATTCCTTCTTGGATTTAAACATGAGACCTCCTGGTACTTTTGACATTTGGAGCCAGCTCAAACCAATCAGGTAAAAGTTGGAAAAAAAATTGTGGACTTGACTGACGTAATTATGGACTTGGGTCAATTTTGATTAATAAAATTGTCTTTTAGTTGGGTTTGTAAGTTGCAAAAGTGGAACTTGCAGACGTAATCATATTTGGGTAAATCATGAAGGGTAATGGCAAGGAGACCAATTTTTACAAGAGAAATAGCCATTTTGGCCAATCTTCCTAATTAAAATTAGAGTAAATTATGTTTTTCGTCCCTATAGTTTGTTAAAAATTGCAGATTTTATTTATGTGGTTTCTAAATTTCAGTTTAAGGTTTGCAATTTACTTTTATTTTCGTCCTTGAAGCCAAAACACTACTTTTAAACGTAGATCACTAAAAATAAATTGTAAATCATAGGAATGAAAAAAACAATAAATTTTAAATTATATGTAAGAAAAAAGGTAATGAATTGTAAATCATAGGGATGAAAATTGTAATTTCAAAACCATAAGAACAAAAATAAAAAATTCAACAACCTTAGGGACTAAAAACGTAATTTACTTTTAAAATTAAATAATAATAGATAATATTGGAGAAAATGAAAGAGAAATAGCTGATCAGTAAATATGGTTTCATTTTTAGGTTCGTTTTTACTCAAATTTAGTTTCAGTCAATTTTTACTCAAATTTGGAGAATTCTTTTTTTGCTGGAAAACCAATTCTTACGTGTAAACGCGCAATGATTGACTAAAAAGTGAATTTGGATTAGAAATGGTTAAAAAGTGAAACTAAGCTTTTTACTAATTATGTTGATTTCCCTAATTTGGTGGATAGGGTCCGGTTAAAGGCACAATTATATAGTTATACATTATTATAAGACAGTTTACTAGCTTTTTTTTTCCAACAACTCAGTATTTACTTTTTATATTTTTAATACTAAAAGATACTCGTGTAATGCAACGAGACACATCTCGATTTTAATGTTCTATTTTATTATTTGTCTHTGTCGATSTTATAATACGATTTTATGTGTTTTTAATAAAACAATAATGATTTTATTTTTGAATAAAATATAAATTTGAAGATATCATAAAAATTTGAAAAAATATATATCAAGATTAATATCAAATCAACTATTTAAAAGTTCTCATTTTTTA